GATTTGCCTTGATGGTGCTCATTCTCTTTAGACTGATAAGGACAAATATCCTCATAAAAAATCACATCTCTAGAAGTAAATATTTGTTGAGTTTCCAAATCATATAATTTGTAAGATTTCTTTCCTAAAGGGTAGCCTACAAAAATGCATTTAAATGCTTTAGAATCAAACTTTCCACGATTTTGGGAATAATTGTGGGCATATCAAAGGCAACCAAAAACTTTCAAAGAATCATAGCAAGGTGGTTTGTTAATAGCTTTTCAAAGGGGGTGAGTCCTAAAAGTATGGGTGGAGTTAAATTGATCAAATACGTGGCTGTAAGCCTGTAAAACCCTCTCCCCAAAAATTTAAAGGTAAATTGGTTTGAAATTTGAGTGTTTGAGCTACCTCAAGCAAATGACAGTGCTTATGCCCAACGGCACCATTTTCTTGTGGTGTGTTCACACAAGAAGTTTGTTGTAAAATGCCCTTTTTGAGACAAAAATCTTTTACACCTCCTTCAGTAATTTCCTTTCTATTGTCATTATGAATTTGTTGAACATGAGTATGGACTTGAGTTTCAATCATTCGACAAAAATTTATCAAATATGAAGCAGCTTCGTATTTATGTTTTAAAAGATAAACACATGTGCGACAAGAGAAATCATCAACTATAGTAAAAAAATAATGAGCCTGTATTAGGGGGAGTGGCATATCTACCCCAAATGTTGCAATGAAGTAAGGCAAATATAGGTTAAAGTATTATTACTAAGGTTAAATCCCCGATTCAGTCCCTCAACTTTCATTTTTGAACTAAATTTACCCTCAAACTTCAAAAAGTACTAAAAAAATCCTTGAACTTCAATTTTTGGAACCAATTTTGTCCATTTGTCAGTTAAGTGCTGACATGGCAAAATTTTCCGTTAACAAATTCAATTTTTATTAATATTAAATATTACCTAAAAATAAAACAAGTGAAGTGGCATTTTTAATTATAAAAATATTGTGATTTGGCACCAAAAATATAATTTAATAAATAAAAATTTCCTTTCTTTCTTTTTTCTTTCCTTTCCTTTTTTTTTTTTTCTCCTTCCCCTCCTTACTGGGTTCGAAGGAACCTAGCACCAGCGCCTGGGTTCGAAGGAACCTAGCACTAGCGCCCGGGTTCCTCGAACCCAGGCATGCTGGGTTCGATGGAACCCAGGCATGCTGGGTTCGATGGAACCCAGGCATGCTGGGTTCGATGGAACCCAGGCATGCTGGGTT